TATATATATATATATATATATATATTTCGATAGACGTTCGACTGATCAAGTTTAGCATAATATCACATTCAACATAGCAACAACTTATCAAACAATTATAAAAAGATAACACAAACACGACATTTTATCATGAGTTAATGGTTTGCACAAGAAAACATAACATAATAAAACATTCGAACTTCAACTTAATTTCTTACCTACATAATAAAATTTATTTTCTTACAGTATAATTACATCAAAAAATCAAAAACTTGATGCACATTCTTGTTTATTACCATTCCATGTTGGAATATTAGAAGTACTATTCTTAAAATCTAATGTAATTCTTTCGCAAAACAAACGCATTTTCTCTGATTTATGAAAAACATTAGACTTAACCATAAGTAGTACCTCAAGTTTCAAATCAAACATAATTTGCCCTCTTTGTCTATCATTAACCATTTCTTTCACCACAGATTCCGTGTTAAAGGTTCGTTTCGAGCTAGGAAAAGAGAACACATCCAGTATCTGAACGTTACTATCCTTCTGAATCTCGATATGGTCCACGTTAGACACGTCTAGTTCAACATATCTATACACCAACGATGTTTCAACTTGATTCAAAAGTATTGATGACCTAGTGTTTGTATTTTTAACCGATACTTTCGTCTCCCAACTAGCTTTCAACGTCGTTCCAGGTCCGCCATTTCCTGATAAGTTGAATGCGCGGACCTCGAACGATTCCAAATTAAATGTAGGTTTCATTGTCATAAATATCATCATAGTTAACATACTTATAATCATCGCAAATAAAAATAAAAATACCACTAGGCAAAGCATGACTCTACCAAATGAGAACCCCTGATCTACATCAGGGGAGACATAAGGTAGTGGCCTTGCAGGGTAATTATATTCGTAATATTGATAAAATTGAGGGTCTGATTGGTAAAATTGAGGATTTGTTTGATAAGAATATTCTGATTTTTGATATCCCAAAACTGGTTTATCTTCTTCCTTTTCCATTAATTTAATTTTTTTCTTACTAAATCCCCTATGAATTCTTCTAATCTATTCTATTAAGAAAAATTATAGAAGAACATAGGGGATCAAGAAGAAGAAGAAGGAAAACTCACATGAAAGTGAAACTAAAATTATTCTAATCAAAATTGTTGTAGAATAAAAAAAATTGATAGTTCAAAATATTTAGGTAAGCATTTACATCGGATCGAAGTATAACTTGATTGGTTTATAATTTGTTGACATGTGTGGACTAAGATTTACCTTTATATATATTTAAAGGTTTGTAAATTAATATGTTATACTCTAGATTTGTTTACTATGTTTGGGAAAATAAATAGGAAATTATAAGCATATAAATTTTGTTTCATTTAACTTTAATCCAAATAAATTTTTGTGTTCATTATTCAAATCCAACAAAATGACTTAGGGCTCGTTTGGTGGGAAGAATAATGTATAATTAATTTCGAGATTTCATGTTTGATTATGATAAAATTGTGTTATTTCGGGATTAGTTAGTCCGAGATTGTAATTTTATTTTTACCTCACATTGGGGTGTGATGATAATTCTGGATTAACTAATCTCGAAATTACTTATTTCCAATCGAACAAGGCTTTAAAATAGAATCCTAATAGGACTTAGTCCATTAGGTTGATCTTCTATCAAATGAGCCCATTTATGTGAGGCCAAAGGCCCATTAGACTTTATATGAGGCAATTCAAATCAAGACCTTAGCTCTCACTTACATAAGAGAAATTTTCATAAATAGCACTATTTTGTGTTCATTTTTGTAATATATAGTGCACTGTTTTCCATTCAAAATGTAGCAAAATACACTATATTCGTGCGTATACAATATCTCGTTCTAGTTGAAGTCGCGTGAATACAGTGTTTAATTTTCAAAATATAATTTCGATATATGTGAAGACATCAGTTGTATATCTAACTAGCTGAATTCAAAGTATATATTTTCAAACTATATGTATAATTCAAGTGTATCTGAATGGTATACAAAGTGTATGAGGAATCAACACCTAAAACTATAAGTTATATGTATATCATAGGTATATGTCAGATATTTATTGTCGTTTCTATCGAGAGATTGCTATTTTCATTAATTAAATTTGAGTCGCTCGATATTTCTAATTTTGATTATAGCATGAACGTGTAAAATATAAATTTTATTGCTTACAAATTTTGACGCTCAGTATAATCTTCATTCTCCTATGTCGACGCATCGAAATTACTTTCACCAAAATTTCAAGAAAAGTGAAAAAACAAAGTAAATAAAAAAAATTAGTAGAAAAAATCAAGAATTTGCAAAATACAATTCAAAGTAAAATGTCTTCATATACTATTGTAAATTTACACTGTTTCCTATTCCCCAAGGAAAGAAAAGAAAAATAAAAAAACTGTACAAAGATAAAAGAAAAATTCTAATCTAGTAAAAGGGCAACAACGAGTTGACTTAACGTCGTTGTAAAAACTCATAAACTTCATAAGGTAGTTCCGATACAATCTACGTTCTCATCTTTTATCAACTCCCCTTTATCTTTAGACCCATGCCCGAACTGAACTTTCAAATCATTGCAATAAACCCTAATCCTCTCTGTCTTTGACTCTGTCTTTGAAGAATATTCATACCCCATATTAACCTGTATCGCGAATTTCAAAACCCCCGAATCATTTCTTAATGCATTAGCGTGTGATAAAATCTCATTATCCAGGAAGGTCCCAGGTAACGTTGTCAAGTTAGAAAACAAGAAAGTAGAACCTTTTTCCCCCAAATTAAAAGGATCAACATTATTTTCTCCTAATAAATTTGTTTCATAGAAAATCCCAATCTTCCCTTGGTTTACTTTTATAGCTAGCTCATTATTTGGATTCTTCATTGATACATTAACTTGCCAATTACCTAACATTGATGTACTTGTGATCATGAGTCCTGTTGGGACTTGTAATGACATGATTTGAAACTGAGGCCTTTCTTTTCCAAATAACATCCATATGATTACACTGAACATGATCATAGACATGACTAGAATTAACATCATGGTCGTTAAATAACGACCGAACGACGTTGAATTATTGTTGATGTTGGTACCAATTTGATCTTGCAATGGTAAATATTTTTGGGAATAATTCACACTATATGAATTATTATTATGATTGTTATTGTTAGGGTAATTATAGTAAGTACTAGGCATGATAAAACTAGAATTGTCATATGATGAAGGAATTGTTTGTTGATGAGAAATATATTGGTTGTGTCTAGCCATTGAAGGGTACCCCATATTTGATTTTTGTTTTTCAATATCTTTTGAGAAATCCATGATTATAATTTTCAAATTATATTTTTGTTTTCCTTCTCACCTTTTTTACTTAAAAAAAATAGGGAGAAGGATAGAGAAATGTATGAAAAAAATATTGAAAAGATTGGGATTTTTTTATATTAAAAAAAAAAAAGTGGAGAAGAGGTTAAGTATTGTTAATGGGATTGAATGTGTAATGGATAAGTAGGATTCAAACACACACAAAAAAAAATGTGGAGTTAAACGCAAGAGTTGGAGGGGAAGGGCTTGATTATCAACCATTTGTAACTAATATTTTATCTTTATGGTTTACACTTTTCGAGTTAAAAAAATCTTATTTGTAGCGTGTAAGTAATTTGTTTTTGGATACGTCTATTAAGTGTGATTTGTAATTGATATATATCTTATGAGTTACGACGACGACTTTTTTGAGTTAAAAACATCTTTATCTACAAAGGGTGGTTGTTTTTTTGGACACGTCTATTAAACGCTTATCCTAATTCCTTGTGTAAAATGTACTTATTGTTAACATTTTCTCAAATATGTGTTATATGTATAAAAGGTGTTTTATTGCATAGAAATACACAACTAAAAGGGATAATCTAGTACACAAAACACGTCAAGATATGGAGTGGGGTTATCATTCTAAAAGAGTGCGATATATGTAGTTTATCCTAACATAACAACCATTAGTGATTGATTTCACGTCTGAAACTCATAACATTTACGTTTAGAGATAACTCTACAACTGCTTCAAAAATGCCCTTCACATCTCATAAACTCATAACATTTACGTTTAGAGATAACTCTACAATTGCTTCAAAACTGCCCTTCACATCTCATGCTCACACAAAGTCGGTCAAGGGCAAGATCACATATCGAAAGGAATGCGATATACAATCTATCTTGACATAATATTTATTTCACGGTTCAAACCTATAATTTATATAAATCGTATAAAAATAACTTTATCGTTGTTTCAAGACATAGCAAAGTTTGAGAACCCAAAGATTAGGACAAGTCTACAAACTTTTTGGTGTCATGAATTTTCATTGATGAGTCTTTTCATCTGTCTACAAAAAGGCAAAATATGTTACCTAAAACACCCTCACCAATCAAAATTGGCAAACAATCCATTTCTCTCTCCGTTCATCTTTATTTGATCGCTTTATACTTTACACGCTCTTTAAAATACAATTATTAATAAAAGTATTTTACCACAAATCAGTATATTACTCAAAAACTAATCCAAACCTCAAATATTATTTAGCAAAAACTTAGTTAAATCCAAAAGGCCACAAAATTTTACAAAATGGCATATGTGGCCATAACTAGAAGCATTTATTATAATACACATATTTAAAGAGGAGTCACATCACAATTGTCACATTTAGACACCAACAAGGGGAGAGATTTAAAAATAGGCCTTTTTGCCAAAATATATCACCATTTTCCCTCAAAAAGGCAATTGACAATTAGATAAAAATTACACACATAACCCATATGCTAAGTTCAATTATTTAAATCTACCAAATTACTATATCTAATGACCAAATTACTATATATCCATTAGGTCCAATTCTTTAGGTTTTTGCCATTTCTCATATGCATGGATATCTTTGATCAGTTTGTTGAACATCTTGCCTATTTCTACCACCTGTCATACAGAAAAATGAATCAGAATTTGACCCTACAAAAACACACTACATACACATGAAAAATCTGAGCTATAATAAAGTTATCTCGGTATAATCAATAGGTTAGGGTTCACAACAATAATAAGATATTCAATATAATCCTCTGAGAGGAGTGGTGTACGTTGTAAGGATAGAGGTTGTTTTCAATAGGTTACGAGCTCGAACAGTGGAATTGGTTATTATTTTTGTCTCGAGATAGCGTGTCTACATTACACTACTTTGGTCAATGACCCTTCTTCTCTGGACCCTAAGTGAAAGTGGGATGATTCATGCACCGAGACAACCGTTTTTGTGAATACACAATCATTAATTCTCATAACCTAAAAGTTCATAATCTTGTTCACATCTTAGTAGCTACTAGAAGAGGTGTCAAATGGACGGATTGAGTTAAAACTGAACATGCAGACTATCGAGCCGCCCAAAAGCTCCATTTGTTCTTAAATGGGCTAGTAAGTGGGTTCACAAACAACTCATGCTTGAACACGTTATGTTTTCATGAGCTAATTTTGTTCGGAGGGTGTTTAGGGGGGTGGGGGTTAGCATTCAAGAGGTAAACAACCTAACTATACTATGAGAAAATGAAATTTCAGAATGATCTGCCATATATAACCAAAAGATACAAGAGAGGGTCAGATGTCAGTTGCTTTTCCCCAAAAAACCACTTTTTTCATGTGTGCCCTATCAGAAAAAAAGGGTGAAAAAGGAAACAAAGAAAATATTTCACTCAACTAAGAACAAGTCGTGAAAAATTGATAAAAGTTCATAGAGTGATATAATTATAACTTACCTAAACTAAGAACAACGACATATCCAATGTAGTTTCACACAATGGAATCTGGCTAGGAGAGGATAGTATAGGATATACGTAGATCTTACTCTTAATAGAGACATACAAAATGGGGTCTGACTAAGAGTGGATAGGAGATACGTAGATCTTACTCTTAATAGAGAGATACTAAAAGAGGATAGGAGATACGTAGATCTTACTCTTAATTGAGAGATACAGAGGTTATTTCCAATAATTCCTCGACTAACTCACCTAAGATTAAGTCATAAAACTTGTTTCTCCCTTCCTCTACTTCTTGTCAAAACCAAATAAAGAAAATGGAGAATTCTACCATCCCTAAGAACATCATATTCTTCAAAGAATAGTTCGATGCACTAAGCTTTCACTATGAACAAAGTTCGAAAGAGGATCGGACTACAACAATCTATTCATGTTACACTTGTTCATACTAGTATACCACACAATCTATCCTAGATTTGATAGATAGAATTATACAATACCTATCGTGAAATTAGTCAAGATAAGTGTAAGTTTAACTTAGAATTTCATTTTAAATAATTTCACCACTCACCTTTTCGTTCACTTTAAGATTCAAGCCCACAACTTTAAGATCAAAAAGTAGAAAACACTTACTTTATGAGCAAAACCCCCTCTTGCCAAATGTCATACCCTATTATACAAACTTACATGACAAAAGCTTTATTCTTTTGTTCTTTTTGATTACTAATCTTAGTCAAACTAAAATCATTCATACAAATTGAAACGGAAAGAATAACGAAAAGAGTAGCGTTTAGCATGTGATGACAATGTTTTTCAACTTGTTGAGCTTTTAAACTAAGACTAGGGCATGTGTATTCACATTGAACTAGGGATGGCAACGAGGCGAGACAGATAGAGACCAGGAGATAATGTTATGCAAAACGAGGCAAAGCATGTCGAAATCCGTCTCATTGTTATCTCTACATTGAATGTAGTGTAATGTAGCAACATATATATTTTCATAAGTGAGGTTTGAAGAAGATATGATCGACCTCTCGGCTCATTAATCGAGATAACCCACAATTAATGGATAATATTCAAAAAAATAAGAGATTAGTAACTCAAAACAATTATGTTACTCACGCTCTTCAAAAATGTCAACACATCCTTATCGTTATTGAATTCGACAAGCATCCGTCAACGTTTTTGAAGAATCCGAGCAACGTAACTCGAGGATATGATTGACTTGCCTTGTTTCTTTCCACCATTGTTGTTGATGTTGCTAGGTATTCTAGGGAGGAAGACACCAGTTCCACCATAATCTCTCACAGAACTACTTTCACCATTAAAACCACAGCCATTGCCACCGAAACCCACAAACGGCGAAACCCAGTTACCGGCGAACCGGTTCAGGCCGAGGTTTCTTCTCTGAATCCCGATGAACCGGCTCTGTTCTTCCTTCTGTAAAAATGGAGCTCTAACTTCCATCAAACTCTCAACCTATACAGAAACAAAAATTGAAAAATCGAGAAATAACTCGATGAAAATCAAACCCATTTTGTTTAGATTTTGATTTCTACCTGGTGGTGAAGTTGAACCGGTGGATAAACCGGTGGTGGACCGGTTGTTTCTCTTCTACTCCGTTCAAAATAGTCTGAAATTGAACAATCTGTACAGGTGCAACACCTCTCAGCCGGTCTGAACCGCCGCTGCAATATCGAGAAAAAACAGTAAGTAAAAATGAAGAAGGAGGTCTGAACCTCTGCAACAATGGCGAAATTCGAAGAAAAAAAACAAAACAGAGCAAAAACGCTGTACTAATGTAACGAAAACCTAGAGATTCTATGGAGAACCCCTTTTACCTCAGCAACGGGAAATGGCTTGGGAAAACTGTGAAGAACTTGTTCAGCCATGAAAATGGAGCTATGATGATGATGAAGAAGAAGAAGAACACAAGCGTAACAACAGCAAAGAGAAGAACCGATGGGGTTGTTTTTTAGCTTATGGAAAAACAGTAAGTAGAAATGAAGAAGAAGCTTTGAACATCTACAACAATGGCGAAATTCGAAAAAAAAACAAAAACAAAAACAGAGCAAAATGCCAGTACTAAACTACTAATGTAACAAATAATTAGAGATTTAATGGGAAAACCCCTTTTACCTCAGTTATGGGAAATGGCTTTGGAACACTCTGTAGAACTTGTTGTTCAGCCATGAAAATGGAGTTATGAGGATGACGAAGAAGAAGAACACAAGAGTAACAACAGCAAAGAGAAGAAGCAATGGGGTTGTTGTTTTTGAGCTTATTATTAGCAGAAGAAACAGTTTCTTCTACTGGAAAAATATCAGAAGGTAGCCATAACTCTCCATCGTCAAGATTTTCCGAAGAAGAATTCTCCATTTTCCCTCAAAACCCACCAAGTATTCCAACTCAGAAACTCATATTATAAGCTTTTAGAGAGAGAGAAAAGAGAGAGAAAATTGACGTTACAGTTCTTTTTTTGCCTGCTAAAAGGTGTGAGAGAGAAGGGTGGGGTGGGTCATGTGACCAGAGGACTTTGGGGGTGGGGTGGGGGTGGGGGTAGGGGGTATGAGGTTTCTGCCATTTTTAGGTTTGTTCAGAGCTTTTGTAGAGCTGAAGAGTTGCAGTAATGGCTTCTCTATTTGGAAAGTTGATAAGTGACAGCTCGGGGAAGATGAATATATATATATATAAGAGCATATCACATAGTAATTTTCGATATCGTCGAATTTCAATACAGATATTGAATATTGGATAAGAAAATTAACAACGAGAATTGCTATCAACGAATATTTTTGTTATAAGCAAGAGTTATGGTAGGATTGTAACGGTTAAGTATTATTTCATTCATAATCATAAGTTTCGAATTTGACTTCTACGTGAATTTAAATTTAATCGAATTTTAACGTGAATATCGATATCGAATACTAAAAATTTATTTGAGCTTGCCCTCATAAGTCACTTTCGAGTATAGATAGTAATATAGTAAACTCTCATTACATTATATAGGTAGGATCGTGAAATATTATTATTTTATAGAGGTATTATTTAATCGATAAATTAATATTTATTAATTTAAAAGAGTTTTTCTGCATTGTAAAATTCATTTAGAGGTTAAATCTGAGAGAATTTGAATGAGCTCATTTGAGAAAACATCATTTATAAACTCGAGATCCATGATTAATGCTCTCAGTTATCGCAATAAAATGAACGTGAATTACTTGTTGGAGATATATGTTCAGAGGTTCAAATATTAGAAGAAATTGTGGATATTGTTGGAAGAATAATGTTAATGATAAAGTTGAAGATGATATAATACATTTGAAACTGATTACGCGTAAGCAAACCCTTATCGCACCTTAACTCTTCACAATTTTATGATGCAGTTTGAAAAGATAACATCCAAAATTTTCGAATTCATTAAAGAAAAGTTAGAAATAGCTTAAACAATATTTGAATTTGAAAAAAAATAGAAAACAATAGAATCGTGTTTACTAAGGTGATATATTTTTGTACTTTTTAAAATACATTTATTTAAAAAATTGATGAAACAATATATCTATATAGGAGTGTACTAAAAATATTTTGTCTTATTGAAATAAGTGATTTTTTTTATTCATCCAAATTAGAATCGATTTAACCAAAAATTAATTTGGTAAGATTTTATTGTAGTTGTTTTTTGTATACAAGTCGATGATATTCTAATTTTGTTGTCTTACTCTTTTTCAAATTCATATTAATTATATTTACTGTGAGGACTTTTTATGAAACATTATGATTATAGAATGATATAAATTTATTGATTTTTTTTAATTATTTATATAAATTATGAATATAAGTCATACTTTCTCTTAAAAGACTATGATCAAACAAATGTTAAAACCTTACCTAAAAATAACTTGACAAAAAATATTTTTAAAAATTAGAATAAAATGCTAGTTAATATTATGAAAAGAAAATAGTATTTCTAATAAATGTACTATATTAATCGATTTATATATTAATGAATCAATTTAAAACTTTTTTTTTTTACAAATATGGAGAAGATGCAATCTTTGGGTGTTACTTTGTAGTAGCAAAATTGATCCTTTTAACTTTCAATAAATTCTAATTTTATTTTTTCTAATATATGATTAAACATATTTAATTTTTAATTATTCGAAACTTCTATATTTGATATTTGATATTTTTCTCCTTTTTATTATAAATATTCATAGTTTTATTCTTGATTATCAATTGTTTCATCATTTAATTATCATATTTATATTAAAATTATATTTTTATTTCAAATTTAACAATAATTTTTTCCCTGAAATAATTAATATGTATTTTCTATATAAAAGGATCAAAAACATGATTTTAGTTAACTTAAATAGAAAAATAATTATTGATTATTAATTCAAAATTAATATCATTTATTAATATTTGAGTTGCTTCAAAGCTACCAAACAATATTTATTAATTCTTACAATTACAATATATGGTGGAATTATTTTTTACAATATATGAACTACCTCCACTAAGCCCACTTCAACTTTCTAATTTTAAATTTGGGTTTATTTTTCTTTGATTAAATTATTTTATTTATTATTTATCTAACTTATATCAAAACATTATATATATATGATATGAATTGTTGTTGGTTTTAAATAATATCATATATAATCTCTTAAGCATAATATGAAAATTATGATGAATTAGGTACTTAGTTTTGTACTTTATATGTGCACTTTAATAAAAGGGAAAAAAAGCATTTGTTCAACAACATCACTAATTAGGTACTTTATCTAATTAATAAATACACAAGTAAAATACACATTATTATTATTATTTTGTTATTTGAAGTCTATATCGAATTAAAACATGCTAAATACTTATTATCAACTTCACAAGTATGGGGTCACAAAAGTTGTTGTTGCACATTTTTGCTAAATATAAAGAAGCATGAATTATACTTTTTTTAAAAATCTCTTATATTAAGTATTTACTAATTTATGCCTTTAACATAACTTTTTCCTCAAAATTATGAGTATAGATCTTAAATAGTATCACAATTACAAATACGTATCATCGTACGTTTGTGACATTGATATTTCTATCATTCTAAATCTAAATATATATGCCCTTTAGAAATACATAACATAATCTTATTCAATTGATACAGTACAATTTAAATCATAGGAGCATCAATATCTCAGAAATATAATGAAAATATTTACGTATCTCAAAAAGGTGACAAAAAATATCTGAATTCTATTTATAATAATTCAAAGATGTATTTATCATTTTTCCTTTTGCCCTTTTATATTCTAATATCATTTACATAATATTTACAATAATTTGAGAATATATTTAGGGTGTGATCGGTATGGAGGAAAATGTTTTCCATGGAAAATATTTTTTTGAAAAACAAGTAGATTTTAGACTTATTTTCTCATGTTTCTTTGGTTGGTGAGTAGAATATATTTTCATGAAATGATTTTTAATGTTTAAATTTATGAATAAAAAATATTTTTGAGAGATATCTTTGAATAAAAAATAATTTATGAAATTAACCTGATTAACTAAAAATTCATTACACCAACATTACATTTATTTAACACACATAAGAAAAGAAAAAAAAATTGAAATAAATTTCAAAATCAATTCACACTTATTTTATGAAAAATTCAATTCATGGAAAAATTCTCCATATTACATTTCATCAAACTCCCAAAAGAAACCAATATAGTGAATAATCTATTTTATATTTAACAAAAAAAAAACTTATTTAGTGGCAAACTAATCCAATTTCCTTAATCACTTCCCTAATTATAAACTAATATTATGGTACATCTTCCTTACCATATACCACAAATGCAGCAGATTCCTTCTCTTCTGCTCCAAAAAAAAAACCGTGTGCAATTAAACCGCCGGTAAACTAACAAAAACCGGCCGGTGACACCGGTCCAAACCGGCTCCGGTAAACTCCGACGATCACCGGATCATTCTTGCAGTGATGAAAACTGGGTATTTCTTCATTTCCATTATTACCCTTTCTGCATTGCTCACATTTAGCTTTCATCTTCACCGGAAACGTATCTTGTATCCTCGGAAATGGATTATTCCGATGCATCGGAATTGAGGATACACCCATGGAGTAATTGTATTCTTCTCTCTGAATCTTCAAACTCTGCAACTTCTCGTTCAAATTTTCGAGTTCTAACGGTGAAATTTGATCGAAAAACGGTGACCCGAATTGATTCGGGTGGGTTCGTCGGAGGAGAATGGGATTACCCGGTGGCGGTGGCTTTACGGAGGAGAACGATTCATTCTCCGTAACGAATCCACCACCGGGTTTTATAATCTTACGATTACGTGATTTTCGCGACCGTTTTAGAACCACGAGAAAGAAACAGTCTATTTCACGAGCAATTAAACTGAAATTAGCTTTACCGGTGATGGGGATTCGTCGTCGATCTTCCAACTTTGAGGTTTTCCGATCACACAAGTAAATTGAAATCTGATTTGGTGAGATTCCGATTCTTTGGCTTAACATCAATTGAAATGCTTTGAATTCTAGTAAAGGGTATATGCGTATACTTCCGATGTTCATCTCTCTTTCTCCGTCGTAAAATACCACCGAAAACTCTGGTCCTGCACCGCCTTCCACCATTGCTCCGGCGAATACCACGTCAATTTCCAGTGAACCAAACAAGTGAGATATGGTAGGAAGCTGAATACACCCAAACTCCGGCAACTAACACGCAATCCCCGGCAAAACCAATAACTGAATCAGCTGAAAAAGGGAGTTTTTTCTCGAACTCCGGCAACTAACACACAATCCCTTCCAAACCCAATAACTGAATCAGCTGAAAAAGGGAGTTTTTTCTCGAACTCCGGCTACTAACGTGCAATCCCCGGCAAAACCAATAACTGAATCAGCTGAAAAAGGGTGTTTTTTTTTCTCGAACTCCGGCAACTAACACGCAATCCCCTGCAAACCCAATAACTGAATCAGATAAAAAAAAAGGGGTGCTTTTCCTCGAACTCCGGCAACCAATACGTCAATTCCCGGCGAACCCCACAAGTAAAAAAATGGAAAAACAGGGGATAAATGAGTTTTCTTCTCTCAAACTCCGGCAACTAATACGTCAACGCCCAGCTAACCCAACAAATGAAATTACAAAAGGGGAAAAGGGAGTTCTTTTCTCAATCTCCGGCAACCAATACGTCAATTCCCGGCAAACCCAACAAGTAAAAAAAAAAAAAAAAGGGGATAAGGGAGTTTTCTTCTCTCAAACTCCGGCAACAAATCCGTCAACACCCAACAAACCCAATACATGAAATTACACAAAAAGGGGAAAAGGGACTTCTTTTCTCAAACTCCGGCAACTAATACATCAATTTCCGGCATACCAAACACATGAAAAATGAAAAAAAATGGAAAAAAACAGAGCTCCGAAATAGTAATTGTTAAAGGGTTTATATATATATGCAGAAACAGAGCCCAGAGGTGGGGTTTAAGGAAGGTTTGATTAGTAAATAAGATAAGGCGGTGGGGATAATTCTGGAATAAAGTATTGGTATTGAAGAAGACAGAGTAGCTTCCAGATGCTTTTGATGGCGGAAGAAAAGGGGGATTGGTTGGGGGTGGGGTAGGTAGGGGTAGGGGGTGGGGGGTGGGTGGGGGGTGCGAATTGAGTGTAATGGTGGTTGCTTGGGGATCAAGTAATATAAAATTTGTAACAAATTATCCCTTTTTATGTTCTTTTTATAAAATGCTAGTTTTTGTCCTCACCTCGAAATCGAGTATCTGTAACGAAATCTGACTAATCTTAATTCGTATAAAAAAAGTCATAGTCGAAAGCTAAATCGCTTTCGTAGATAGTAAGATTTTACACTTAGAGTTTTGAATTCGAATAGTATGGATAAAGACAGAGGAATCTTTTATTTAAGGTAGAATTAGAATCAACGATGATTTATACGAATCCCTTTTTAAGAGATATTGATTCCTGTTCTGTTATGATGTTCTACTATTAATCTTGAAGTCGCACTTTAAAAAGATAAAAACGTTTCTGATAAAAACATGATTGTCTGATCATATGTATATGATTAAAGACAGAGAAATACTTATTAATCTATTGGAGGTAGATCTAAGATCGTAAGTTATTTATCTGAATTTTTCTTATTAAAAAAGTACACTATTTATTTTTTTTATATTGTTGATTTTTATCCTCGGGTTGAAATCAATTAATCGTTATTGTAATCGTATAATAAAATTTGATTTATTAAGAAAAAATCACGATTTAAAATATAAAACGAGTTCGATAAAAATAAGATTCCATACTTAGGTTTAAACTCAAGAATTATAATTAAAGATATAAAAATACATATTAGTTTATTATTAGATGTGAAGGCACAATTAATTTATTTGAATCTTTCTTTATCACAAAAATACACTCTATATGCAAGATTAGAAAATATTTATAAATAAATAGATATATGATATGTTGAAATTCTTTGATTTTTTGAATATATTTATTTTGTAATATTTAAATCTCCTAATTAATATAGATATGGTCAATTTATTGCTTCAATTTTGTTTGATTGCTAATTTTAATCCCATTAAAGTTTTGATAATATTTGTAGGAATACGTTTCTATTTATATTCTAATCTTGTGAAGAATAAATTATCACATATGATATGGTGTAACGTTATTAATTTAATAATAATGTTAATCATAGCTAATTACTTTTCAAATTCATCACTTTACTTAGTAATTTCGTTTAATGTAGAAATGGTTGTTAATCACACTATCAACAATCGCTTGAATTTTTTTATATTATTTCGTCTTTTCGATTATTTAATTTGAAAATATATACTTAACTACGTAAAAAGATTGTTTATATTATATTTATAAAAGTAGTTACTTTATTAATATATTTAATTTTCTTTTTATTGAATTAAAATTCAATCAATAAATATTATATTTTTTAAAAAGACCTACTAGTGTATAGTGTTTTCTTATGAAATTTGATATGTTACACCGATAAAATTGACACAATTGAGAAAATTTTAATAGTTTCATACGTGGTAGAATTTTCATGTTTAAAAGAACACAAAATACATAGTTCCTCCGTCTAACTACAGTTATCCACTAAAAAATAAGAGAGGATAGATAATATTAAACTTAGTTTATAATTTATTATTAATTATAGTCCTTTCCTTATTACATTTCTCAAAAGATAACATTTGATAAGAGAGGATACATAATATTAAACTTAGTTTATAATTTATTATTAATTATAGTCCTTTCCTTATTACATTTCTCAAAAGATAACATTTATTACAGAAAAAATTACTGAAATACATGTTTTATGTTTCACTTATTATCAATATCTTCTTCTATTTCTAAAAATCTCTAAAATCTCTTATTTTTTTAGGGATAATACCCAAGTACCCCTCAACCTATGCTCGAAATCTCAGAGACACACTTATACTATACTAAGGTCCTATCTCCCCTGAACTTATTTTATTAATAATTTTTTACCCCCTTTTAGCTTACGTGGCACTATCTTGTGGGCCCAACGATAGTTGACTTTTTCTTTCGAACTAGTGCCACGTAGGCTAAAAAGGGGTAGAAAATTACATTTAAAATAAGTTCAGGGGGTAATAGGACCTTAGTATAGTATAAGTATGTCTGAGATTTCAGGCATAGGTTGAGGGGGTACTTGGGTATTTTCCCATTTTTTTAATGTATTTGGGGTGACATATTAATGCATCTGAATCAGTATTTAGTGTATCTGAGATACATATTATGTATTCAATTTATTATATAATGTATTTGAACTAGTTTTTAATATATTTGAGCAACATATTATGTATCTGAGATACTCTGTAATGTATCCGAGCTACATATTAATGTATTTGGTTTGTGTTACTTTTTAAGAGATTAATATAATTACAAACTAAAGAGAGAGATATTTTAATTTCATATTAATACTATGATTCCTAAAATTTATTCATTTTTATATTTAAAGAGTGATATAGTAAAATTACTCTTTTATTTATAATATTTTAAATAGTGCGTCAAGTCAATAATGAATAACTATTATTGAATAGAATAGTACTTTTAAATCTAAATAAAATATCAATTTCAAATTATAACTCAAAATTATATCTGAATAAATTATTTGAAATAAATAAATTTGATCAATTTATAAGTTTAGATAAACGTAACGTCACCTAAATGATGGTAGTGTACCAAAATAGAAGTTTCTAAACATGAAAATATTGTGTGTGCAACAAATTGTGAAGTACCATTGTTCAATTTGCATTGAAACTAACATACTTTTCTTCTTTGTCTTATGAGAGAAGTTATTCTTTTTTTTTGTTTTAATTATCAGATATTTGATATTTATTGATTCGATTAATTTTAATTATATTCGATTTGTAATAATATGAATGAAACTCTTTTTTAATCTCATTCATGAAATTTTACAGGACATGTTAATATTATTGTCAATTTTTCATCTACAAAAAACTAAAGTATATATTATGATATGACATTTTTATATTTGACTTTTTTCATTTTTCAATTTCTTAGGTAGATGTGTGACACTTATAATGAAAGGTATATAAAAGTTTAATTTCACTAAAAAGTGTGCTAAACCGTAGTTAAAATCAGATAGATATTTCTATTTTAATATGTCTTAAACTTTGTAAGAATATATAATATTTACCAAGTAGGAGAAAACAAGCACAAAAAGTCGCTCACCGATCTATACACACACAAAAAAAACTTCGATTTGAATAGATATAAAATAATAGGAAAGAACAACGAGAAACATACCTACCTTGACGGGGTCAATGGGTGACCCCATAAGATTCATGGCCTAGGTTGGTAACTTTTATTGCACTTTAGAAGGGCACCAACTTAAAATCTGCCTAAGTGATCAAGTCTACGTCATAATTTTCTTGATTTTGTTTACATATGTTAAAATGGGGTGATAATATTTTTGTTTTTCCTCATCATTTCTCTATATTCCTTCCAATTATTTTTATGTTTTGAGGATTTATAACTTTGTCTAATATGAAAAGTTTTTCTCTATTTTTCTAACCTACCAACGCGCGATTGATTCATCTGAACCTCATTTACGAGAAAATTTATTGCATGTATAATGTTAGATTTTTTTTTTCATATGTATGATAGGCGATGAATTCTCTTGGCTTATTCATTTGTTTATTTCTTTCAAATTTTTTATCGTCCTTAGTAAAAATTTCAGATTCTGCAATTCAAGTATTTAAGAGTACTGAGTACAAAACAACCTAAAACAACATTAAGTGAGATCAAATTTTAAATTAATCAAACAACAAAGTATACAAAAGAAACATGATGATTTTCGATCGAACTTAAAGGAGCGATGAAATAGAAGAGAGAAAAAAAGAGTGTACAGAGTACCACATTGATAAAATACAAGTAAATACTAACTTTGTCCCAATATAAAATTGCAGCACAGATATGCTTAAGAACTCACGCAGCCATGCAGTGAGCACAAAGCAAACTATTCTTTCGCCTTTTACTAAAGAATACCGTGTGTGCATTGCAAATAGTGGCATATGCCAATTTTTGGAGGGGTTCTCTTCTTTGAGCACCTCAACAATTCTAGTTTTAATGTTCTTTAAGAAAAATAATCGTAAGTAGTATGAAGTATATTCTGTCATACTTTTTTGAATGATTGTAAATAGTATGAGATATGTTCTGTCATACTTTTAGGACGTTGTTGTCTCTAATCTGTTTTTACTAAGTTACTTAGTTTGTACTTGTTTCTTTTGGTTTGGTCCACCTCATAGAATTAGACGAAGTGCACATAACCAAAGATGTATGTCACGAGACGGTTGTATGTACCTTAGTTTTAGTCAAAGTGCACATAACCAAAGACGTTACGAGATGGTTGTATGTACCTTAGTTTGTACTTGTTTTCTTTTGGTTTGGTTCACCTTGTAGAATTAGTCGAAGTGCACGTAACCAAAAATATTACGAGACGGTTGTATGAGATGAGTGTTTGGTATGAAGGAAAAATGTTTTCCATGAAAAATATTTTCGTCCAGGAACACACCCAATAAGTTGAGCAACTTTTGCAGCAAAGCATAGATTTTTGTTAACATCAGTTTAACACCTTTAATTTCACTACCAACTAGACACTTTGATTTTTTACTAAAGTGGATCATGTGATTACTCGCGCAAGTGAGATACGATGAGCTCGATCGAGAAGACAAATTTGTTGCTTTTATTAGCAAGAAATTTCGAACTTGAAACCTTCAATATGAAAGTCTCAAAGCCCAAACCACCGTGTCACCTAGAAGGTTATGATTTTACTCAATACTGAAATTCACAAGGGTTTTTTAATCATATTTTATTTTTCCCATGACTATGGTAAAGATTTACTTGTTGTCTATTTGGCTGGCAATTAAATGAAAAGAAAAAAAAAAGAGATGAAGTAACAAGATATCCCTCATCGGTTGACACAAGAAAAACAAGTAAAAAGATGGGTATAAAACAATAGGAAGGAACAACTAGAAACATACTTACCTGGATGGGGTCAATGGGTGATCAATAAGACCCATGGCCTAGATTTGTGACCTCCATTGCACTTTGGAGGGGTGCCTACCTAAGGTCGATCCAAGTGGTCGAGCCTACGTCATAATTTGTTGCAGCGGGGGCTTGCGTTCGTGCAGCCCCTACCAATTCTTAAGCAAAATTTTCCTTTTTTTTGTGTGTTGCATTGTTGATTTATATTTGTATCTTTGAGCTTTTATGTAATTGTTGAACAATGAAAACCAGTAAACATATGATTGTATCATTAATTATTTACATGATGAGAAATTTTCTCGAGCTACGGAACTAATGAGTCGAACAATATCACAGCATGTCAAGAGTATCTTCGAAGTGTTTTATAATTGTATCATTAATTATTTACATGAGAAATTTTCTCGAGCTACGGAACTAATGAGTCGAACAATATCACAACATGTCAAGAATATCTTCGATGTGTTTTAGCTAAAGAATACAGTGCGCACGTTGTAATCAATGGTATACGCCAATTTTTGGAGGGATTCTCTTCTTTAGAGGACCCAAACAATACTAGTTTTAATGTTTTCCTTTGTACCAAAAACACCCTATAAGTTTAGAAACTTTTGTAGTTAAGTTTAATTTTCCCATGCAAGAGTATGATAAAGATTTGTTTGATATTAAATGAAACAAAAAATAATGTGTAAAATATTCCTTTTCTTTTAATGCAAAGGTAATTAATCTATGTGAACATTGTCAAGTCGTTTTGTATTGTGTGAAATAGGAGAGTAACTTCATATTAGTGGTTAATATTTATCTCAAGTGTCAATGTTTTTACTCTGTGAGAAAATATTCAGAAGACTTGAAATTACTTTTGTATGATAACAAATTTGTTACTTATAGAGTAAGGGTAATGAAAACGTTGATTATACATTAGTTTCTTATATTCTTTTAATGGATGGAAACGTAAATAATTTTCCTATTTAAGGATATCATTCGGGAGCTAAACACATAGGAAAAAAAAACAAATGTCCTTTCTTTCATTTACTATCTCCTTCACCAATTTCTTTATTGGCTTAAATAATCATTCTCCCTATTGTGGATTCCCGGGCAATTGTTTTTGTGCAACTCCAAACTTTCAACCATGAGTACACGTATTTGAGAGTAACTGTGGAAACTTGGGGAGCGACCGCCTACAACGATTTACACCGGAGTTGGGCCGAAATCACTTTCACGGTAGTGGCTTGTCATGACACAGTGTTTATGTTAAGTTATTCACTACTTTATAATATTAGTCCAATATCAACATTGTAGTATGTTTCCCAACAAATATATCCCTCATCGGTTGACACAAAGGAAACCAAGCATTAAGATGGTTATAAAAAAAGAAAAAGAAAAAGAAGGAACATTAAGAAACATACATACTTGGACGGGGTCAATGGGTGATCAATAAGACCCATGGCCTAGGTTTGTGACCTTCGTTGCACTTTGAAGGGGTGCATACCTAAGGTCGGCCCAAGTGGTCGGGACTGCTTTTTCTTTTTCTTTGCCTTATGAGAGAAGTTATTCTCTATTTTGTTTTAATCATCGGGTATTTAATATCTATTGACTCAATTAATTTAAATTATGTTCGATATAACGATATGAATGAAATTGAGTGATCATCTTGAATGATTCCATGTACCCCATGCTATTTACATGTATACGAATGACAACTTTGAGAATTATCAAGAAATGAATAATTAAATAGTCGAAAAGTGACTTATGATATTTAGGATCTTTTGAAAATAACTTCTTTAAATTGTGCTCTTACAAAATAGACGTAATCTCTTGGCTTATTCATTTGTTTATTTCTTTCAAATTTTGATTGTCCTTAACAAAATTTCAGACTATAATTCAAGTATTCAAGAGTACTAAGTACAAAACATCCTAACGCGACATTTCATCAATTAACTTGTGACCATATATTTCTCCTGAATCACCAAGAAACTGAAGTGAAAACAAATCTTAAATTAATCGAACAATAAAAGTATAGAAGAAACATGATGATTTTCGATCAAAGAGCGATGAAATAGAAGAGAGAAAAAAAGAGTGTAGAGAGTACCACATTGATAAAATACAAGTAAAAACTAACTTTATCCCAATATAAAAGTGCAGCACAGATTGGCTTAACAACTTACGCAGCCACGCAATGAGCACAAAGCGAACTATTCTTTCGCCTTTTACTAAAGAATACCGTGTGCGTGTTGCAAATAGTGGCATACGCCAATTTTTGGAGGGGTTTTCTTTATTGAAAGCCCCAACAATACAAGTTTAACTTTTCTTTAGGAAAAAATTACAATATACTTTTGAATTATCGTAAATAGTATAAGATACATTCTGTCATACTTTTAGGATATTGATGCTCTGCTTCTACTAAGGTACTTAGTTTGTATGTCTCTTTTGGTTTGGTCCACATAGTAGAATTAGTCAAGCACATAACCAAAGACATTAAGATTAAGAGACGGTTGTATGAGATGAGTGGTCGGTACGATGGAAAAATATTTTTCATGAAAAATATTTTTGTCTAGGAACACATCCGATAAGTTGAGCAACTTTTGCAGCAAAGTATAGATTTTGGTTAACATTAGTTTAACACCTTTAATCTC